TTTCTTCCGGGCAAGCGCCAAAGTGCGCCGGACCACAGCGCACACGGCACTAGCAAAAAAAGCACCCCCAAGGATGCGCGGCCTCCAAGCCATTCTTGCTTGACTCAGCACCACGCACCAGGAGCAAAGGGCGGCCATTAAGCAACCCACAGAGAAGCCCAAACAACTTTTGTGATCTCGCCACCTGGTCGTCCGGGATCAGAGCGTGCTCGACGGGCTTGTCCGGGTCGATGTCCGCAAAGTCCTGCTCATACGCAGGATCATTGGCAATGATTCAGGAGCTAAATTGAAATCACCATTCGCGACATGTGAGCATGAGGCTTCCAAGCCTCAGCCTTCATCAGATTGACCGCTTTTGTACCATTTGTTTGCGTCTCAGCCAGGCTGGCAGCATGCTCGGTCGTCTGCAGGAGCTTGCCCTAAAAATCAATTGAAAGCTTGCCCCAGCTCCGTCGCTGATCCTCACCGCAAAGAATATAGCTGACCTCTTCCTCGCAGGCACTGATTGAAAACCCAAGCCTCCTCGCACAAGTTGGCTGCGCCTCACACCCGCGACGACTTACCACAAAAGATTTCCGGGACGCCGTGCACCAAAGAGGGCTTACACAAAAAGCCGAAAGGATTTCTGGTGGGCCCAGCAGATGGCAGCCACCAAGAAGGGGTGAGCACGGCCAAGTGCAGGCACTAGAAAAGAATAGCCACAGCCACGTGGCAATCGAAAGGCCAGCTCTTATCGGGTGAAACTTGTTGGTCCCTGAGCCTCGTGAGGGCGAAATGTCTTAGACACGGCCCCGAGGCTCCGCTACCCATGAAAGTTTTCTTCCACAGCTAACTTGAGGGCTCAAATACGGTGTTTACAAAGGATCGCAAGGATGCACTTCTGACTTGCAAGAATAGTCATTATGCTTGTATGTTATCACAACGACAGAAATAATTATTCAGATAAGTATAGCAATGCGAGCAGTATGTACTAAAATCTGAAGTATAACGGGCACCATAAACTTGTTCCGCTGACCCTTAGTTCGAGTCGGGAAGATCAGGAAAAGGTGCGTGTCCTGCAAGCCGATCCGTTTTCAAAGACCGTGTCTCCGGACGCTTGAACTGTAAACTTATGACATGACCAACAGCCCCATCAAAAGCAAGACACCCCCTTGCCCCCCAGCTCGAAGGATGCACCATAGCTCAAGAGCCTCTATAGAGTGTACACACTTGATCGTAAAGATTTATAGCGTGCGAAGACGTATTTACGCATCGCCAGACAACAACAAAAGTGTATGGCCACAGCCCCCCTGACTTCAAAACTATGCGATATTTATATGCTTTGTATGTTTATATCTCTTCATGTCTTATATATGTATACGTTTACACGTTACGCATTTCTGGATTCATCTATGTTCATATGTGTATAATTATAATGCTTATATTTATAAATGATAAATCTGAACAAACATATAACTCGCGCTCTCTCTCTCTCTCTATATATATATATATACAATGACAATGTAAGTGCATTTTGTGTTATGTGTATAAATGTGCTGCAATTTTTGGCTTGCAACAAGAACTTTAACATTTTTCATCCCTGTATCGACGTAGTTGGAACCATAGAGTGGGTGCTGAAAATATTTCCCTCAATGGTTCTAAGCTGAATCGTCGCCCACCGATCCCGTCTGCAGGAATGGAAAAACCAAAAATATAGAAGTTCCTGAAACCAGAACAACCCAGCTCACCCCCAGCACATCCCAATGCAGCGTGCTGTCGTTTGAATTGAAGCTTCTGCGAATTCAAATTTTGTTTGCATTCTTGGGCCCCGTAAACGGCCAAGCTGCACGGAAAGCAGTGGGCTGCGGCTGAAGCACAAAGCGTCGATGTTTCTCAGCTTTCGGTCGAACCACAAGTGGATATTGATGACCTTTGCATCTTCACTTTACAACATGAACCACTAGCGGCAAATGAAAGCAAGCGTCTCATTGGGAAAACGGGAAGACCACCTACTACCACACCGGCCGAAGTCTGACGCACAACTGAAGCAGCGTGGCCGGAATTCCCTCCAAATGGTCCAGCCTCAGCTGTGCCACCCCGGTTCTCTACAAGGATTCAGACGAGGTGTGGACTCCGATTTCGAACACGGGTTGGAATCTAAAACTCTCCATGAAGTGGGTCTTTGTCACAAGCGGGTGAGGGTGGTCATGTCGTAGAAATTCGGAAACGAAACAGCCGCAGGTCTGGAGGTGTCTATGCTGCAGCCCATAATCACAACCCAAGATGGCGAGCCACCAAAACCGGCATGCACCAGTGCTGGCCCAAGAAGCTGCCGGAAGAAAGGCATTATTGACCACTGCTGCGGAAGCAAGCGCTTCAGCACGTCAACCTTAGGTGGGCCAGGCTCATAAAGGATCCATTAACAGTGCTTTTGGCAATGAGGGCCTCGGAGAGTGGCTTGCTTTCAAAAAAACTTGGGATTCCGACCGGCATCGCCGAGACGTACTCATCCGCCCGAAACTTCTCGCCACCACGCATGCTCCTGGGAAAGCCCGCATTCACAAGGTTGCATTGCTCGTGGTGCACCTTGGGGTCATCTCCCCTCTAACTGGCACGTACTCGGCCAGCCACGTTGCTTGTGTGCACTACGGTACATCACAAAAGAGATTAACGGTTTGATCGAAAAGCCGGTAAACAACGCACACGAAACGCAAAGATCCTCAAGCCGCGAGTCGTCGACCCCTAGGTCAAAACTGTCAGCGTTAACATCCGGTTGCAGCGCTGCCCGATCTGGCAACAGCAAAATGGCCACATCACCTCCCATCCTGCAGGCTTTTTGGCGTGCAGAGTAGGAGTTGAGCTCCTTGCCTCGTTCCTCCCCCCGCCCGTCCCCACGTCCTGCCAAGGCATGTATTGGATGCTTCATGGATCGAAACTGACAAGAAGTATTTTGTCGGTGTTGCTGCTCGCTCAGGTTGCTCGTGCTACTCGGACTGCATCCTGACTTCGTTCAAAACGAAGTGATTGGACCTTGACCTTCTTCACTTCTATTGTCTTATGACTACTTCGGCTGGTCTCGGGAGTCTTGGCCAATCTGGTCTGAGCGCCTTTTTTTGTTTCTTGCGTTGTGTGTTGTGGGACACTTTGCCACTGGAGGCGCAAAGGCAACACCCAAAGCCGAAAACCATGCGGTTAACCCACTTTGCCAATGACTGCAGCGGCTGTAGTGTGAACGAAGTCATGACGTCATCTCAGTAGCACGAGCAATCTGAACCACCAATGTAGAGCGAGGACCAAGACTGCATAAAAGGCAAAGGAAAGAGGGGGGGACGGGGGAAAGCACCCATTCGTAGAAGGCCTCAGGCCAGGGGGAGGGAGCAGAGCGCAAGGACCCAAGCACCCAAAAGCAATGGCCAGCCCACATACTTTCAGTTGAGTGGGAGCTTGTCAGCGCTTGCGGTGAAAGGAACAACGTCGTGCTTTGCTAGCTGCTAGAGCTTCCTCATGCCTTTCTGCGTGTGCGAGATGGCTTTCAAGATCCCAGGGTCAGGTAATCCACAAAGCCGTCTGGGCGCAGGACAACCTCCGTGCTCGTTTCCGCAAAGGATCTAAGGCCGAGATCTGCAGAGTCTCATTAAACTTGAAGGCCCAGCTCAGCATCTTCGATTCTCTCTGGGCCTCCTCCACGACCGCCCCGAGGCGAACATCTCCACCGAGGCGTTTGATGTGCTCCACCTCAGGGAACGAAGTCATGACCTTACCGACCTTTCCGGCTGCGGAGCTGAAGCGACTTGCATGCACAGCAGTTTCCCGGACGCCCTGAACATCTAGAGCTTGCAGACGTCAAGGATGCTGCCAACTCTACAGAATGCACTTCCGCCCGCACCCCCCCAGCCCTGAAATGAAGATCCTCCGACCTGAGGCCACAAGGGGGAAGAGAAAGGAGAGCACGAGCCTCAAAAGCCCCTGGATTAGTTGTAGTCTGCGACGGGCGACCATGGGTTGGCAAAGCCGGTCGGGTTGGTTACCGTCCAGGAAGGCAGTTTGGCTTCCGTCGGTCTCCTTTGCTAGGACTGGGGGTTCTTCGAGATATGCGAGTCTTTGACTAGCTGCACGACCAAAGGCAACCGAGGCCAACAGCCCCCCAACGTGCTTCGGAGATTTTTCTAGAACTCTTCTGTTTTTGCGGCAGTCAATGTGCATCTTCAGGGTTTCTGGAGTCCAGGCTCGTTAATGAAGCGGTTCATGGCCGTCAACACGACAGTCATGGAGAGGCGGTCGGGATCGATGAAATCCAGCGCTTTGGCCATGGGAATGAAGATCTCCTGGAGTTATCCGTCTAGAACACAAAGAGGAGGCACTGGAAGGCAAGCTTTCCCAAGAAGCCGATGCTTTAGAAAGCAAGCCTTACAAAGTTTCCCGTGAGATGTTCTCTCTCCCGACTCCTGAATGATCCGATCCGGCATGCCGTACTTCTTGCAAAACTCTGTCACGGAGCACTCGTCTTGGGCATCCTCGGCACGCAGTATAACATGGGAGATGTGAGCAGATGTGAGGCCTTACGCGAATGCTGCATGCCCTGCTATGTATCGTCAAGGTTCGATAAAGCTCTGGCCTTCCACCAGCATTGGCAGCAACGGCGGCCCAGTTTGCAGTTTCCTGAGCCGCCGTGCAACATAAACACTGATCGCACATATCGCAATGGCAAATCCAAGTGGGTCAGTCCAAAGTCTAACTGTTTCAAAGGATTTACATGCTGGTTGCAAACGAGTCCTATGACATCTTTCACCACGGTAAAAAACACTCTCGCGTGGATGCATTCTCGGCCCAAACCCTCCAGCCTGCGCCCGCCCTGCATGAGTATTGCTGCTGCGGCAGAATACGGCGAGAGTCTCCAAAGGGGACAACATCTTTTGGTTCCCCAAAATCGCGGCCGCCATGTTCAAAGGGGCCGGCCATCCTGCATCTTTTTCCATCTGGATTTTGAAGCAGTTCTGGACGAAAGCTGTGAAAGTATCCCGCCTGGGAATTCGAAGGTTGTGAACTCCCCGGGGAATTCTTGCCTGAGCTTCGAAGCTGTTTGCTTGCAGTGTCCCTGTCGTGCTTCCAGCCTCTGGAGACTGCTATGAAACTCGGGACCACAGCAATACCTCCATTACGTAACCCTGCATGCTTCCTCAAAAGCTACGGGCATCAGTTTATGAAGCGAGCTGGACGACGCTGAAAAGTTGCAGATGGGATTCTTTTGAGGCCCGCTCGGGCACCGAAATGCACGTTACTTTAAAACTCCGAGAGACATGGCGAAGGTCATTTGATGCCGTTTCCACTGTAGTCGATCCTGTGAGTTGTCATGGCGCAATGCAAACGGCAGTTCCATCAAGGCTTCGATGTTTCAGCTATTTGCGGGCTTGACCATGTCTCCGGGCTGGATTAGTGTAAACCACTACCACGACAACAACTGCTGCTCCTACTGCTACTACCACTACTGCTGCTGGTGCTACTGCTACTACTGCTACTGCTACTATTGCTACTGCTACCACCACCACCACCACGACGACGACGACTACTACTACTAATTGCTTTTACTTTGTGAGCCCAAGCTCAACTCCTGCATCAGCTGGGAATCGACGGCCAACAACAACCATAACAACAACAGCTGCTACTACCACGACCACCACCACCACCACCACCACGACGACGAAACGACGTCGACGACGACGACTGCTACTACTACTACTACTACTGCTACTACTACTACTACTACTACTACTACTAATTGCTTCTACTTTGTGGGCCCAAGCTCAACTCCTGCATCAGCTGGGAATCGACGGCCAACAACAACCATAACAACAACAGCTGCTACTACCACGACCACCACCACCACCACCACCACCACGACTACCACGACGACTACTACGACGACGACGACTACTACTAATACTGCTAATACGACGTCACTACGACTAGGACTACGACGACTACGACTATGACTACGACTGCAACTGCTATTGCTACTCCAACCCCTACCTACGCCTGCGACGGCCACGACGACGACGACGACTACTACTGCCGCCGCTGCTACTACTACTACTAGTTACTACTACTACTACTACTACTACTTCTACAACGGCTACGACTGCGACTACCACCGCCACCACCACTACCGATTGCCCAGCTGCTGCTACTTGCTGTGCTCTGTTGTCTCGTGGCTCTTTGGCATCCCACATACATCTCTTGCCTCAATGCCGAGTTCGGAAAACAGGTTCATCCTTGGCTGTTGACCGGAGGCCCGTCTCAGGTCTTCAACCATTCTATTGGCCCATGACCTTTATACAATTCGTGTGGCCACACATTGCAGCATCCAAGCGGCATGTTGGGGTAGGCACCGAAGAAGATGTGCAGACCGGTTTCCTGAAGCAGCTAGACAGTTGTACCAGGGGGGGAAACATCCGGCTTCAGGTGAGCTCCATTCAAAAAAAGGTACTCCATGCCGTCAGCTACCAAACGTCGTGAATGAAGCCAGCCACTCTAGGGACCAGTTTTGGGCCAAGTGTCGACCCAATCTCCATCTTCGTCCTGCCATGCCGACACCTCAGAAGCAGTTTCGCGGATGTTGACCATGTCAACGGCGTCTGGAAAAGACGCTCGTGGCTGCTTCAAACCGGTAATGTCGCGTGCGCTCGACAAGGGCTGAAAGTTGGCGAGCCTTGCCGCCGAGGACATCGCGAGCTTCGAGGACGACCTCGGCTGCAGTGCTACCCGGTCGGTTCCACTTTGTTGGGAAGCGCACATCGTCCCACTGGTCGTGCCATTCGGCCTGCCATGCAAAACCAATGGAAAGCCGGACCCAGGGCCCAAGGCATCAGCGGCCCTCAATGAAACAAGTGCCATGTCCATGACCAGACTTCGCTTTCCACAACCGCTCCCAAAAGGACCAGAATGTGAGTGAGAAATTCCAAACGCCTGATGTCTCAGAGCAGCACGGCTCTGTGACCAGCATCGGACAGATACCTCAAACAAAACAAGACTTCTCTCGGACAGGATGGACCACTGTTCACATTGCAGCCCGGGAGGTATGGGATTGGTGGGCCCGGTGAGGCCGCGTGCGGACGCAAACGAATTGAACAGGATATAACTGGGGACCCCTCCCAAACCATACATTTCCACACATCTGCATCGTGTCTCTGATCTTGCCACTGGAATCCTGGCACATCGGCCCATAGCGCGTTATGAGCCTAGACGGATGTTGCCGAGACTCTTCGCGCAGGCTAGTCCAGAAAGTCCTGCCCAACAAAAAGCAGAAACCCTAAACGCTAAGCCGCTGAACAAGCTCAAGCTGCACCTTCAGGTGGGGCTTGTGAACTCAGCCATGCAGAACGCAGCAAAAGAGCGAGGCGCCAAAGTTCCAAAGCAAGAGCACAGCGGTTTGTAGCAAAAGCACTCCTCCCCCGATCACGGCAACCGTTTTCTGCTCGACCTGGCCCGCGGTTTCGGCCCTTCGGCACGGGCTACGGCTTCAGTCTCTTTTAGGACGATAACCCCCCGGATGCAAACATGTACGCAGCTTCTTCGCTTAAGTCGCCTGGCCGCTGATCTGCGTGAATTTTTCGGAGAGCGCCTCAGGACATGCCCCTCATAACCCGCAGCGTGTTCAAGGCATAGCCAAACATGCTTAATTTCTTGGGGCGGCGACTCCGTGGCCACAGCTGGGGGTGCAGCTTTGGCCTCCTTGTAGTTTGCTGTGTTCTCGATGTTTGCTGGCTTCGCGAAATCCTGATCCAAGTCGGTCCATGCATTTTTAACATGCCCAGCTCTCCTAGAAACATATGTCGCACTATCGCGACGGCTTTCCCTCGCACAGCTGAAACAGCTTTGAGGCCTCTTTGCGGGCCACCGGGTCTACGAAAGCTGGCAAGGGGAAGGAGTTTTCACGCTTTGGCCGCAGCTCGCCGCGAAGTTCCGAAGTCTCTCAGGCCCTCGTCGATCACGTTGAGTTGCCGCAGGCTGCAGGCATGCTGGCGCGGCACCCGGCACTGTCCCGTATCCTCTGCTGAGGTCTACGGCAACGGTGCTTGCGCCGACCATCAGCCAGAGCTCGCAATTGATCAGACGCAGCGCGCAATTCACATTCCACCGTCGCTGTCGCCCGGCGGCGGGGTGGCAGGAAGTGGCCATCACGTGCCGGCAAACGAGCACCGCGACGGCCAGCGCAGATAGCCGCGCTGCGGCCCTCCGGGGCCCCGGCGGCAGCGCCGATCACGACAAGGCAACAGCTGCAAGCCCAGCTTCGTAATTCTTTGGTCTTCCTTTCCGAACCGCGACAGCTACAGGATCTTCAACCCAAACAAAGACCGAGGCAGAGAATGTGGCGGGTTTAGGGCAGATTCTGGCCTGCAAAACGCAGTATTCTGGTTTACCTGAAAACTGGCTTCCAATTGAATGCGTTTTTCAAAACTCACTAATTTGGTATCTCATCCTGTCGGCCCACAAATCCCGAGCAGCATTTCTCCTTGCACTAATTGCGATATCGGGTATCAGTTTGAGTGTCCGTTTTGGTGCAGGGTACGCGCTGGAACTCAATGATTTCTATCTGGGAAGTGAAAACTTCTGGAGTTTGAGAGCTCGGAACTTCCATAGCGGGAGATTGAACTTTATGTGTTGTCTTACGCACTTCAACTTCGAGCTGCTGCAAGCTCCTTCTTCAAAGTTTCGCCGCGGGCGAGTTCGAAGGGACATCGAAGGTGTAAAATGGGATTCGACTATATACGTTTCGACTTCACGAGTTTGCCTCGTGTGACATTTCGATTTGGTGCTGAGAAATGAGCAAAATTTTTCCCCAGATCCACGGTTGGAAAGAATGAGGTTTCGCGTGTTCGACGCCTTCAGCATCACTACAAATCGTTCGGATTTCCGTGGGAGACGTCGAAAAATCTAGGGGTTAGGAGATTGAAAGTTTGAAAGTGCTGCTCCTTAATCAAAAACGCTATCCATCAAAACCGTTCAAAGGCTTCATGGACCCCCGACCAAGAGCTCAATGACTCCGATATGACTTTCCTTCACCTATCCACTCCGTTACGTGTTCAAGTTGCAGTCTTTTTCGAACGGCTCTTTTAGGGCTGTAGTGTTCACTAGAACTCGTTTTGGCAGTTGTTTCGTTCTCCTTTCTTCCGGCCACTCGTCTCCTAAAGAAACTATTGGCGGAAAGGAACCAGAAAGCGAGGGAACGAGAGAGAGAAGCGAGAGCGAGCGAGGGAGGGGAAGGCAACCAACCAAGATCAGTCTGTTTCCCCAACCACGACACACAGGCAGACATCCCTTGATGCGACGAAACCAGTCTTTTCCAGTCTTGAGCTAAATACTATTCGGCATTGTAGCATTTGATAATGCATCATATTCATTCGGGAACATGCTAGGGGTTGGGGAAATGTCATTTAACACAGTCCCTTGGTTCTGACGTCAGCCGAGAACCATTCAAACAGTTATCCAATATACACAACCACATGGCAGTGTTCGCGAAGCGATCGGGAAACGTTGGAAACATTAGCAATCAAAGCAGCGCTCGACTCGTGAAAGCATTCGAGTCTCAGCTGTTATCATTCGGAGGCTTGATTGCATTTGTGCATTGCAAACATGCAGACAGTTCATTCTCTGCAATCCACAAAGGAAATGCACACGTCGCCGAACGCCAAATGATTGCAGGAGTGTCGCGCGGAACACTGTGAATACACACGTCGCCGAACCTCAAATGATTGCAGGAGTGTTGCGCGGAACACTGTGAATGCACATCTTTTTTCCGACTGCAAAAGCAAGATGCTGTCCCAGGTGACAGGCTAACTGCCTACAGTCCTACAGCTGCGCGGGGGCGCGCCGAGCGCGAGAGGGTCACGCGCGCAACGGCAAGCGGCTGGAGCCTTCCCCATGCTCGCTCTCGCCGCCCGGC